TCCTTAAGGGTGTGTTGCCATTTCACTTCGCTTATCATTGTTCTGAGTTTATCAAAGTTGACTTTCCTGAAGTCAAGGATTCATGTTTGGCTGCAGTTAACCTTTGTCTCTTATATTGAGAATTCAAGTATCACATGATCACTTTCCCGCAGAGGTCCCATGGCTGTTATTTTGTTCACCAGGCCATTCCTGTTAGTATTAAATTGAGGATAGCTGATCTCTCATTCCTTCCTCTACCTTCCGATGGAGTTGGCAGCAACGCATGTCAGAAATCTCTTGGATGAGCCATGTTTGACAGAAATTATCTCCCAGCATATATCAAGGAAATTGAAGTACCCCATGATGATGACTACATTATTCTTCTTGGAAATGGTGGCAGGTTGCTTTTTGAAGGTTCCATCCTTCTCCTCTTTTTGACTGGGTGGTCAGCAATTGACAATAACTGTGTTTTTCTTTTTGCTCCCTTTAAATTAAACTAGATGCTTTCAATGGGGCCAGTAAGTTCCTCCTCTTGTATTTCTGTGCAGATATATATGTCTCTCACATACAGTGTGACACTGCCTCTCTTTTTGTCCTTTCTATTTTTCTTGAAAAGGTTGTACGCATCAATAGTAGACTTCCAGTCATATGAGTCATCCCATCAAGTTTCAGTTGTTCCTATAATATCATAATTGCCCCTTGTACTATGAGCTCAAGTTCATATTATTTGTTCCCCATACTCTGGGCATTGGTGTAGAGACATCAAAGTTCATTCTTGTTGTGCCCTGATTTTCTTCCTACATTTATGGGACACTGGCGATGGGCCCTGCTTGAGGTTTTTTCTCTGTTGAGATATACAAGTTTTCGTCAGATGATAGTATGCCATGCTGTACAACTCTCCCCCCTCCCCACCAATACGTTTCAGTTTAAAGCTCTCCTAATGAACTTTTTAATGTAGTGGCCAAACACATGCTTTCCATTCTTTGTGAGGTAGAGTCCATCATTTGCCAGTAGTCCATCTTTCAGGAACCTTAGCGTGTGGTCCCAGAATCCAAATCTCTCTTTATAGCACCACCATCATAGCTGGTCATTGACTTGAAGGATTTTTCATTTCCTTACAGTTCCTCTTTCATGTATTGGTAAGATTGGGGAGAAGACTATCTAGGCCTCAGTATTTTTGATTTTCCTTCCTAGAGCTTTGAAGTCATTAGTTTGGAAAAGAAGGAAGGGGTGTTTGTCAGTGGGTTGTATGAGTTCTGTGAACTTGTTGGTTATATCTTTAACCTTTGCACCAGGTACGCAGCATACTTGGAGATTCTCTGGGTCATTACAACTTATATATTTTTCCATCTCGCACAACAGGAAATCTCCCACAACTTGTGTTGGAAGTCGTCCTGAGGCTCATGAGAATGGGATGGCATACAAAAACTCCAAATAAATCAACTATCACTCTTCTCCGTTTGTTGTTGCAAACTTTGGTATCTTTTTTCTTTCTTAATAAGCCTTTTTTCTCTTTTTCAGAACTACAAAATCTGTCATGTAGTTCTTTCACAGTGGGTTTCTCACACATCTCTTCCTCAAGTAATTTAAAGCGGTTTGAGAGATTCTCTGCTTCCACTGGTGTAGAGCGTCTTCTAGGTCTTCTGCTTCTGTCACCCTGTTACAGGGAGATTCTTCATTTCCCGCTCCCTCAGGATAATAAGCTCTTCCTGCTTATTTCCCATACTCCTAGCATTGGTGTACATACATCACAGCTCTTGCCCATAAATCCCATTCCCTGGCTCCCCTGACCGCTTTCTTCCTCCTGGCCTCCCTGGCACAGTCTCCCTCTTTGCAGAATTCTTGCCAGCCCCTACAGTCCCCACTTCACCCTGCCCCTGAGACCCTGATCCTGTTCCTTCACCAGTTCAATCATGATTGGTTACCTCAACACCCGCATCTCTGACAGCAAACCCCTGCCCGAATCTGAACTCAGGTCAGGCTTCCTGAGCAGGTCGGTCTCCCAGGGGACTTGCAGCCCCAGTTTGCTTAAGCAGAGAAAATCTATTTCTCAGCTTCAAATCAGCACCTGGAGATGGAGGGCATGACTCTGCCCCTCGCCTTCTGAGGGTGGCATGCCTCCACGACTCTGCAGCTGATTCCCCAGTGCCCCCTTCCTCTTCATTCTGTCTGGAAGGGGGTTGCTACTAGTTGGCCTGGAGGACCTCCTGGGCAATGTCCAGGAACTGTTCCCCTTCCCTTAGCTCCTGGAGAGAGGTGGTGGTGTCCTCCAGACCCTTCACCTTTTCCTCAAGGAGGGACACCAGCTTGTACACAAGCTTGCACTTAGTACAAGTGTATCCTGGCTCCTCTTGGGGGAGGAAGACAAACATTCTACAGGAGCTGCAGGCAACCATCACACCTGCTGCTCTCGCCATGGCTGTCACCAGGCCTGGCATAGGCCACCGCTCAGAGAGCCCTGATTCTACTTGCCCTCTGCATCCTTGTCTTGCCAGTACTATGCTATCTCACTTGAGGCTGAGAACCCTGCTTCCTCAGTAAATACAAAGTCCCTGGGGAAGAGTCTCAGGCAACCTGGGATGCAACTAAGGGATGCAACCAAGGGGCAATAGGGTGGAATAGCAAACAGAATGAAGATTCAGGTGATCTTGATAAACTTGAACACTGGGCTGAAAGCAACAGAATTAGATTCAATAAAGACAAGTGCCAAGCGCTTCATCTAGGAAAAAGAAACCAAATGCATCAATACAAGATAGGGAATATATGGCTCAACAGAACTGAAAAAGAAAAAGATCTCAGAGTACAGTGGTACCTCGGCTCACAAACGCTTCAGTTCACGACCAAATTGGGTCATGAACAGAAATTTCAGTAAAAAATTGCCTCAGTTCACGAACTCCACATTGGGTGAAGACCATGATCACGGCCATCTTTCCTGCACGACTGCGACCCGATCGCACCCATCTTCCCTGCATGAGCGCGATCACGCCCATCTTCCCTGCACGATCGTGATCATGGCCATCTTCCCCACCCCCAGCATGATCACTATAACATGATTATGGTTTGGACTGTCCCCCCCCCCAGATTAGTGTTCTCTACTGTACTGTACTTTGTTACTTTGTTGTTCTTTGTTACTTTGTTTCAAATTTTTGTGGAAAAAAAATATTTACAGAACACATTAACCTTATTTACATTGAACCTTATGGGGAAATTTGACTTGGCTCGCGACCAGTTTTCCTCACTAATCAGACCTCATCTGGAATACAGTGTCCAGTTCTGGGCACCAAGATTTTAAAAAGATGCAGAAAAATTAGAAAGGGTCCAGAGGAGGGCAACAAAAATGATCCAGGGTTTAGAAACACTGCCCAATGAGGAGAGACTGAGAGAACTGGGTGTGTTCAGCCTTGAGAAGAGAAGGAGGACATGATATCCCTCTATAAGTAGCTCAAAAACTGTCACAAAAAGGAAGGTCCAGAGCTCTTCTCACTGATACCAGAGTGTAATGCAGCAATACGACAGTGGAACCAGTTGCCTAGAGAAGTGGTGGGCTCCCTCACAATAGAGACATTCAAAAAGAAACTGAATGGGATAGTGTAACTTGGTGTCCTGCAACAGCAGGGGGTTGGACCACCGATGGCTGAGTGTGGCTTTATAAGTTTCAGAGGCCACTGGAAGCAGTGGGAATTTACAAATTATCCTTTGTGTGATATATTGCCCCATGAATCCTTCCCTCAACTAGGTGCCCTCCAGGTACATTGAACTACAACTGCCAGTAAGTCCCACACAGCATGTATTGGAAGCCATGGTCCAATTCTTCTGAGAAACACCAGGTTTGGAAAGGCTGTCCCAGAATAACAGCACTGGCAATGTCCAGACAGTTTTTGCCACCTTTATTAACTGGGCTTTATGAAAACAGGAGTGGGGATTAGGCTTGCGCTCTCCCTCCCTTGTACCTTCCTCTCTTCATTACCTGTCACTTTTAACTCTCATTCCTGGTTCAAGTTCCTTGTTATGTCCTGTCAATTAAGACATCTAAAGAAGTGTCAAACATTGGGTACTGATACATTAAAGCATGCAGTTTAATGTTTTCCCCAAAAGCACGTTTGTGGTTTAAACTGGTCCAGATAGGTACATGCCTACAGTAAATTTGTTGACTGTTGTAATAATCCTTAATTTATGTTTTGATAGTCATTGTTTAAAGTTTTCTCTTGGCTCTGTTTTCTCTTGACTAAACTAATACCCATTTCATATAGTAGTCCTATAAGCCCCCTGTATTTTTTCTGGTGTACCATGTTTTACATATTCCAGTTTTAGCATCTGGGAATCAACGTTTGTGCCTTTTAAAACTAGGGAAGACTTTACTTCTGTATGTTTAAAAGCTATATGTGAATTGAAGCATGTCTGTTTTCTACCATGATTATGGTTCACAAGAATCATCCCTACATTCAAGAGTTCTCTGAAGAATATGCATAGCATACAGAATATAAAAGCATCAGTGCTGGATTACTAGTTCAGAGGAATATCCCAATGGGAAGCCAGAAGCAGGGCATGAGTAGAATAGTATTGATGTTCCCCAGAAACTGGCATTGATAGATGTGCTGCCTCTGAAACTCCAGCCAGTATATAGTCATTGAGTTAGATCCAGATTTATGTTGAATCAAATGTGCTAGTGGAAGTGAATTTCCCCGCCACCTCCTTCCTGTGGCATCCCTTTCAGCCTGGTAATGCTATGGAGAGTTAGGAGAACCTGCTGAATGGGGGCAGGGCATTGTTAGGAAATCCCCAAAAGCTGGGTGGAGAGACCTTCTTCAAGCAGAACCCTTCTCTGGAGAGCAAAAAGTTCTGGATTTAAACCCCTCATGGCAACGGAAACTTGGCAGGATTTTTGAAATTCTGAAGGGTTAAGTAGCAGGCCAGCCCACATGATTTACATCTCATGTAAACTGTGCATCAAATTGATTTATTCTCCTTTTAAGACTCCAGCATATCTTCCTGTCACTCTACCAAAAGTTTGCTGTTGAATCCTACCACAAACTAATGGTATGGTGACAGGAGTAAGTGTTGCAGTTTTACAAAACTAAATTTAACCTAACTTATCCTTTCAAAAATTTTAAGGAGGCCCTTGTGTGGTGAAAAGTGTTTTTCAGTATGTATTTGTGGAGAAAGTTTTTTATTATTCACACTAAGGCCATACAAAGAAAATACTGGAGCACATGCATAAAGTTGGCACATTTGGCCTGAATGGAGGAATGAGAGGAATAAGGAAATATTAAATATTTCTGTCAAATACTGCTAAAATAAAAAAAAAAACAGTATTTCTCTTTGTGGGTCTTTCCTGCAGAACATGTTAATACACCCTGGAAAATCCTCATTTTCTGAAGTGAGATTAATATATGCAAGTTCACCATCTTATTTCTTATGAAATGCTTATATATTCTGAAGTTCGTAAGTGCTTGTATTTTCAAATAGTGTTCTAGGTATTCATTTACTAGTGATGAATGGAGGTACAAGAGAACTGACAAATGTACAAGCTTAATGCATGGTGACAACCCTACAGAAAGCTCTTTTCATTTGCGGCTTTTTAGAGTCATTTTAAGTTGGTGAATTTAGCCAATCAGCTTTCTTGTCTCTGCTGACATCACTAACTAGCCAGTTCCCTCCAGCTGCAGAGAGCTTCAGTTTCTTTTTTTTTTTTAAACTAAAATGGAGGCTGGTTTCTTGCCTTAAGGAGTACATTGCTTTCCCTGCTGAAGCCTAGATGTTGACATGTAATAAAGCTGGCAGCAGGATGGTTGTGGACGCAGCCAATTCAAATGGGCCATTCCAGCCCGTGGCTCTTTTACATATTCGAGGTAAGTTATTTGTCTTTGAATGAATTGTAATCCTCTGTGTCTAGCTAATAAAGGTCTACTGTGATTCTCGGATAAGGAAAGCAGGAAGTCCTTTGTAGCAGAATCCATTTTTGTTCTGATGCAGATCTGTTAAAGTTGCAAAACGTAGGCGGTAGAGTTGCCTGAAATTTTAAAAGATTTAAGATTCAGATGGGCTGCTTGCATCCTTAAAACAGGTTTCACCGCTTTCTACCAAGTGTTCCCTTCCCCCCACCCTTTCAAGCTGTGCTGATGTTAAAGGATGTGAAGTCATTACCCCAGTAAGGTGTTTGTTGGGGCGGGCGGGGGAGGAAAAGCGGCAGGGCATTTAAGTTGCATTGCAGTCCCCCCCCCCCAGAAAATTATGGTTCTTTGTAGCACAAGCAAGCAATAATGTGGAGTAAAAAGATATTTGTTGGTATAATGTGGGTCCCTTCATAGTTGCAGTTTCGACTGCAACTGAACAGGAAAGTGACTAACCCTAACCTTTCACTACATTATTTAAGGTATCTAGTATATATTCAGAAAGCATTCAGAATAGCATGTTCTTTGAAAGATCTGTCTCTGATATTTTGAATCTTAAACAATTGTATAGTGCTGTCATATTTGAAAAGGACATGAATACATACAGCTAGCTAGGAATCTCAGAAAGCTGTAGCATATATAAGTGCCTAAGAGTTAACTAAATTCTCTCAAACTTATTTTCCATTTGCTTGGTTTCAAATACTTGTTATTGGTAATAGCTTTTTAACAAATAAAATATCAATATACATTACTCACACAGCAATGTTTCTGCATGAATTATAATCACTGTATATTTATAGTATCATTTATAAGGTGACATACCCACTTTCCCTTTAGTTTTTGTTGCAAAGTGATAGAATCATAAGCTAATATCCCCCCTTCTTCCCCCATGCATCTCTTTCTGGTATTCTTAGTACATTCTAAACAAGTTGGTAAAGGAAGGCTTCTTAAAGCAACTGGATCTAAGCTTTATACTGTGGAGGCTTCCAGAAATAAATTTGGCAAGGAGTAACTCATATGAATTTCTAACTTCATTCGAAATACAGAATGCAAAGAAAATTGGCCTTTCCTGTATGTTAGTTTGTAGGCTTTAATTTTCACACTTTGATATTGAAAGGTTTATCTTTTATGTTTTCACATGGTTACTGCAAGAGTAACTTTAAAAATCAATGGACTGTTCAAAAGCTGCAATCTAAAGGGAGAAAGACTGGGTCTCTCTTTTTGAAATCCTTAATTGTACTGTAGAATCTCTTACGCAGCAGTAAATAATGTTTTGCCTAAGAAAATAAGGTTTTCATATTTATGCCCTTTCCATAATTTTACATTGTGATTGTCTAAAGTTAAGGTAGAACAAGCAAAACAAACACAGAGATCCGCCTTAACTCTGTCTAGCAAAATATGCACTTCTATTCTTTGACAAATAATACTTGCTAAAATGATTTCAGTAAAAGCTAAATTGCTGTACTCCTCCTCCTGTGTAACCTTTGTTATGCAAATAGGCTCAGAACACCCACTTTCTACAAGTTCCTTTTCTCTTGAAATAGATTCCCACATACATCAAGTTTAACTCTTAATGGTGCCAAAGAACTAAAACATCATGAGTTGTGTCAGATACTAAGCTTTACTGTAGTATTTTGATAGTATGTATGATATGCCTACTGACTTACAAACTCAACAAGCATCATTTTTTTCCTTAAGTAGAATATCATCTAGATAATTCTGTGACCTTATGGAACTCTGCGGGGTTACTTAAAGTACTCTGCAATGGTTGGTTTTAATACAAATAAGTGTGAATCTTTGTTATCATCTTTCAAACATAAAAGTATGTTGTGAATTTGTTTATATATTTATAACTTGACTTTTCAAATGTTCATTCAAATTCATTTGTCATAGTTCTTGAGGAAAATAAGAAGTATAAAATTAAAAAGATAGGTTCCAAGTTAGGACTCTGGAACAATATTTATGAGAGAGATGGGGGTGGGTGATGTGAGGGCAGAAGATAGAAAAGTGACATGCTTAGTTCCTGGCAATTTAATGTCCAACTAGGGTTCTGTAAGCAGGTTCAAACAAATCCAGTTAAATATCTGCTTCAGGTCTTGCCCATCAACATGGGGAGGTTCCAGGTAAATGGTCAAAACTGGACCATGAGTATCATTCTGCCTACTGTGCTTAGAATTTGTAGCACCTGAAAAGTATTGCTGTGAATTGTAGAATAGTCCCTGTAGATTAGCTTGTTGAAACCCATATTGGCATTGAAAGGGGATTCAAGCAATGACTAGGTAATCAGGATACAGCAGATGGACTCACATGTTGGTATGTTAAGAGGGAATTCATATGAGCTAAGAAGTGATGGGCTGTAGTCTATTACGTTGATGATGTAGGTATCTATTTTAAATGGATGTCGCTTAAATACTACCATGCTGTAGCAGAATGTGCTATCTAGCCATGCTACTTCAAAATCTTTTCCATGTGAACGGCAAATAATTTTGTCTGTTCACAGATATACCTGAGTAGAAGACTTCTTGACTGTAAGATTAAGGGCCGCCACCTTTTAGTTTTAAGGTTCTAATTATGCTTGTGTGTGTTTATATATATCTCTCTCTCTCAAGGATGGTTAACCTTTTTCAGCTAAAGAACAGAATTCTACTCAGAGAAGTTCTTGGGGGCTGCATTCCTCTGGTGAGCGGGACCAAAGGCAAATGTGCTGACTGTTGGAATAGTAGAATACATATTGTTGTTCCAGGTAATCTTGGGGAGCAATACACTTTAAAAGAAGGTGCTTGCTTGCCAGATTGGCTCAAAAGGTTTGGGATCTTTTGCTGGGGTTTAACCCGCACTGCCAGAGAGAATGAGCCCTAGTTTTGCATTCACACAAACACAAATAACACTTAGAAAAGTTTACTTAGCAGAAAATATAGAACAGGCATAAGCTTTTAACCCAGTGTTATCTAGACAGCAAATATTTGTGTTGCATCCCGGTCTTACCCTATATTTCTAAAGAGGTAAAAATGCTTCCTGCCTAGCAGAGAAAAATAAAGACACTAGCAGACAAAGTGAGAAGGAAAGCAAGTCCATTACCCAGCTGCTGGATAAATTCTCAACAGCTGGCCTTTGTGAGGGAAGGAAGGGTACAAGACCTGTGTTCAGAGCTTACCCCTGCTTCCCACTATGTTCAGAGCTTTCTCTTTTCCTACATTCCTGATTTTTATCCTATTTTTCTCTGTACTTGCCACTATGGGAAAGATGAGTGTCCCAGAATTATGCTGATTGTTGCACTGGATGCTTGATGGTTTCTTAATGACCTTATCTATTGTTATAGATCACAGGCTGAATATGAGCTAACAATTTTTTAAAAACTAATGCTATATGGAACTGAATTAATAGAAGTATGGCTTCCAAATCACATAGTCCCCTCTGTTGAAGACTAGCTAGTACTCATCTTGAGTATTGTGTCCAATTCTGGGTACCACACATGAAGGAAGAGGCAGACAAACTGAAAAGGATTCATAGGAGGGCACCAAAGATGATCAGGGGGCTGGAAACAAAGCCCTGAGAGGAGTGATTAAAAGAACTGGACATGATTAGGCTTGAGAAGAGAAGACTGAGGTGAGGTATGATACCACTTTTCAAATACTTGAAGGCTGTCACACAGAGGAGTTCCAGGATCTCTTAATCATCCCAGCATGCAGGACACAGAATAATGACTTAAGTTACAGGACGTTAGATTCCAGCTAGACATCAGGGTAAAATTCCTGACTGTTAGAGTAGTGTGGCAATGGAACCAATTACCTAGGGAGGTTGTGGGCTCTCCCACACTGGAGACATTCAAAAGGCAGTTGGACAGCCATTTTTTGTCAGGGAAGCTTTAACATGGCGTCCTGAAGTAAGCAAGGAGTTGAACTCTCCTACAATTCTGTGATTGCTGTCTGCCAGGTGATCATCACTATGTGTATTTTGTATGGGTCCTGTGTTTGCTAACTATGATTGATGGGGTAATTTCCAGTTGTCTCAGGACAGGATGTCTCAGGGTCATCTTCCTTGCAGAGTTGTTTAGCCTAATCTCTGTAATGGGAAAGTCTGGCCTTCTAGCATTCTTTTTTTTATCTCCCACTGGCTATCCCAGGAAACTTAAGTCCTTCTTCCTGAATTCAAGCCTACTTAACATGGCCCATTGCCCGAAAGTCTTTTCTGACCTGGAAGCTTATTGTTATGGCACTAATATTGATATAAATGAATGCACTACAATATCTGTTCAGAAGTAAAAATAACATGTCTACTGAAATATAATCAAGGCAGACCTCTTCAATTCTACTCAGAAGCAGGAAAGGCAGAGGAAGGCAGAACATGCTCCAACGGATCAAAGCTCAGGCAACCAAGGTTCCATTTGGATGCCAGGAAGCACTTCCTGACAGTTAGGACCCCAAGGATATGAAATGAGCTTCCACAGGAGGTGGTTGAGGCCCCATTGGTGAAGGTGTGCAAAGATAGGCTGGACATCCACATGGTGGGCATGTCGTGAGCGGAGCCGGCTGGAGCCAGGGGTCAGACTAGATGGCCCGGAAGGCTCCTTCTGACCCACTGTGTTTCTGTGTTTGTGCAGGACTGACTCAGCAGATTTGTTCACAGGGAAGATTCTTATCCCAGATCAGCAGTGGCTCACTGCACTTTACGCACTTTATTTGGTAGTATTCCTTATAACAACCCTATAGTGTTGGTCAGTATGATTAACCAATATGCAAGGTGAGGGCCTAAAAAGAAGCAGTTTGCATAAGATTACCAGTGAGGCTTAAATTGCAGATGTTGTGATTCATGCTGGAGTCCAACATGCTAAACCAGTTTTTAGTATGTAATTAATCAATGAGTGCTTTCCTATTGCCTCCCCCCCACTAGTCCCCCCCCATTCTTATACATCCTATTGGCCACTCTAGAGCTTTCACTCTGCATAGAGTCAATTTCAG